CAAGATTATCTTCTGTGTCTGTGTTAATTGGTTTCCCTTTTCTTTGTTGAAGAGGGTCTGTGCAATCCTTCTGCCTAGTCCGCCATCTTGCCCCGCCTCCCCATGTTCTTCCTTTTGAGTACAAAGTTAAATAAGACAGCATTTTCAATTTTTTTGACTCAAGAGTTCTTTTTAGAGTTATATGTAATGTCAAGAAATCTGTTAGGAATTTATAAAATCATTAATATTTCTCACATTATTTGATAAATAAGTAATTTTAAGTTAAACATTTCATTTTACACCAGTATTCAAAAGTTTATTATAAAATTAATCTTAGTGAAAAATAAAAAATTCATGACCAACAACATTATATTCTTTCATTTTCATATTAAAAACTCAATTGGCTTATCCTAATGATTTCCACATTTTGTTTTTAGGTGATGAGATGAGAAAAAATATTTCAGATCATTTATTTACAAGCATTTCTTAGATAGTCTTTATTCTTAACATGGGAAAAGACAAACTGGAAACAATCATCACTGTATTTTCTTTTTTTATATATTGCTTTTTATAAGTATTAGAAGCATCATTACTGCTAAGTATGAGTTTTAGTCATAAAAATACAATTTATGGATCTGATAAAAATTATCTGGAGACACACTTAGAGAGCTAATACAAATTTTATGCTTCTCTTAATGAGTAAACCAAACAAACCCTCTGCCATAGAGTCAATTTGACTCATAACGACCCCCATTGGGCTTCCAAGGCAGTAAATCTTTGCGGAAGTAGACTGTCCCATTGAGCTGTCCATGGGTTTGAACCACCAAACTTTTGCTTAGTAGTTAAATGCCTTAGTCACTTGTGCCACCAGAGCTCCTTTATTAATGAGCAGCTCAGCTTAATTTTTCATTTTGCTCACTGACTTTAATCAATGAACCATTATGGATAGCAAGGAAATTATCTAGCTATGAAAACAATTTAACACTCTAGAGGAGCTAAATTCACCTCAGCAGCCAGAATCCCTCCTAAACTCTACTTGTAGGAATGAGTTATGACCTTGCTCATCTGATCACCACTTACCATTACATATGTTCACTTAACAATCAGGGATTCTCTAACATTTAAATGGGGGAAAAATAAAGAACAATTTTACTTATTTGTCAGTCAAAGGGCCATGTGCAGGTTGGGTTTCCTCATATAGATTATCTGCTGATCCTGTTTTAATGGGTAAAAAAATGAATGTACATATTTATTTAAAAAATAAAGAAGTTAAATGGATACCATTGCCACATATATAAATACCATTCTTTGATCAGTTCTTAAATAATTTCTCCGAAAGGCACTCCCTGACCATCAAAACTAAAGCAACACCTCCTGTAACCCAAATAATTCCCTAGTATATCCCTCTATTTCTAGTTATCATGGAGCCCTGGCATGGTACGAACACTTGACTATTAGTCCAAATATTGGTGGTTAAACTCACCAAGAGGTGCCTTGGGAGACAGGCCTGGCAATCTGCTTCTGAAAGGTCCAGACTTGAAAACACTGTGGAGCAGTTCCACTCTGCACCCATGGGGTGCCTGTGAGTTGGAATTGACTTGATATCAAGTAACAACGATGATAGTTACCATAGCACCTATCACTTCCTTGTTTCTTTTTAGGTTTATTTACTGATTGTCTGTCCTCCTCCACCAAGGTGTCATATCTAAAAAGTATGATTTCTCTTCTTTAGTGCTGTATTCCCTGGCCCTATAATAGTATGTGCTACATAAATAAATGAAAAATGTGTAACACTGGGCAAGCCATTGGGGAATGTTAATCTGGTTGGCTGTCATTCCTCAACATGTCGTTCTTTACACAGTACTCATATTAGAATTTAATGCATACTCTATTATTAATGAAAGGAGCTCTGGTAGCATAGTGCCTAAGGCACTTGACTGCTAACCAGAAGGCTGACAGTTCAAACCCACCAGCCACTCCTCGGAAGGAAGGTTGGGCAATCCTACTTCCGTAGTGATAATGCCTCAGAAACCCAAGGAGGGGTTGCTATGAGTCGGGTCCGACTTGACGGCACATAACAACAACAACATTATTAATGCAATTTAGGAGAATGGACACCAGGGAGGTTAGAATCATTCTATATGTGATCTGTAAGGAAACTCTTCATGTTATCATGCTGTGAATCACATTTGTCAGTGAATTTCCTCACATAAACTTTGTGCTGATGCTTATGCACCTCTGACCTTTTCTTTAGGACTAAAACCTTTAGCAACACCCCTAGGTTTAATGCTTACTTATTATCAGAAACTGAGAAGTGGGATCTGCTGAGCAAACAGGGCTTTCTTCATGTGTTATTATTATGAGAAATATAGAGCTTTATTAGCTATCAGCAGTACAGTTCTATCCATGGAGTAATGAATATAGCTTTTCCCCAAGTAAGGTGGTCTTTGTTCTTGGTTTCTAGGAAATAACCTTTGGAGTAATTGAATGCTTTGGTCTGGGACTTCTAGGCCACACCTGAGGATTTGTGCTGGTGGATAGGGGCTGGCCAGACCAAAAAGACTCACTTGGTACATTGATATCAACTAGCCTCAGGAGGCATAATTTAGCCTATCATATAGGACTGGCCAACAAAAATCCAGAATACAAAGGCTCAGAGAGCTTCCTGGTTGGTGTGAGACATCCATGCCCCTGAAAGGATAGGGCATTTTTGGGACATGGAGGCTTTATATTATGAGCTCTCCTAGATTTCGCCTATGTGTTTCTTCCTTATGATGACCCTGAGTTGTATCCTTTTGCTATAATAAATCTATAATTGTAATATGGTACTGTCTGTGAGTTTGTGAGTCAATCCAGTGAATTATAACACTCAAAGTAGAAGCCAGTAGGTGAGAGTGAGGATGTCATGTGGACTCCCAAATTTGTGGCCAGTGTCTACCTATTTTGCAATCTGAAGGATGGTTCTCTTTTAACCTGTGAGATACTCCATAGCTCTGAGTAGCTAGAGTCACAGAGAGAGAGGGAGGGAGGGAGGGAGAGAGAGACAGAGAGAGGAAGCTAGTGAGCTGCGGGGGCAACTGGTGTCAGAAATGATTGAGGTGTGGGAAAGGGAGGACTAGATTAATCTCCACATTTTGGGGATACGATTCATGCTGATTCTTCTTCATGAAGTTACTCATAAATTATCCTTTTCTGATCCTTCTCTTTCAGAAATCTGACAGCAGAAAGGAGAGAGATGAAAGAGAAAGCCTGGGATTGGAGATAAGAACCTGTAAGAAAGTGGAGGAAAGAAGAGACTCTAGGAAGGAAGAACATGGAGAAGCATGCATGCGCCCCCTGGTTGAGAAAGGGCCCAAATAGTACTTTGTTTCCACATCACGACTACAGATGCTACCTTGTTTTTTGAGCCCCATCACACAGTGCTGAGAGCTAAGGGTGGCAGCTGTACAAGGGTGTCTGCAGATGCTGACTGACAGAAGTGGGCGTCTGGGACGCTTACTGCTCAGGATGACTTATATCATATTCCAGCTACTTCTGGCATCCTAGTCAAGAGTGTAATATGTTCTGTTGCCCTTTTATGGGAATAAAAAGAATCAGAGAATAAAATAATTCTTGAAAATGTAAAGAAAAATATTTAAAGAGCCACCCAGACATCTTCACCAACCCATCTTCCATGTCAACCTCACAAATAATCCTAAATAAAAGTCATTGGTATGATTCTAAGTTTACTTCCTTATTAGAAATAATTATGTAAGTATGTAAAATGGCCCACGATTAATGAGAACTGACAATTAACATGTCAAGTACTATGCTGAGTGTTTGAATGAATTACCTGAAATAATCCCCACCACTCTGAGGTGAGGCCTGTTATTCCCTTTAGTTTCTGGATGAGGAAACTGAAGTTTAGAAATGTTCAGCAATTCATTGGCATCTTGGCAGAGCTGGAGACTGAGACCAGTTTATTCTAACTCCATGACCAATTCTCCTAATCTGAGTCAAGACTCTAGTTTCCCTTTATAAGTGGGTCCTGACTTAGTATGTGTGCGATGTGCATGTGAGTGAGAAGAGCAGAGTTGAGGTAGGTTAGGATTTTGATTCCATGGGTGAAAATTAATTTTCTGAGGTCAGCTTTAAACTCTGGAGCTTTGACTTTATGAGGCCATACTCTATCACTACTTTTTCTCTTCTAGAAGAAAAAGTACTAGAATTCTCTAATACTCTCCCTATTTATTCTTTTTTTCCTCTGTTTTGAGTCTTCAAATGCCCAAGAGAAGCTAGATTCTCAATTTTGTGATGAAGAATATCACCCCAAAAATGCCACTTATAACTAATACTATAACTGATTGCTTATATAAGACACAGATACACTTTAATACAGATAATAGAAAGAAGAAAAGACCAAAGGAAGAAGGAAGAGGAAAACAGTGACAGAAAAGTGAAATTTTAATGATTATTGACTTATATTCTTTCAATTTTCATACAACTGTGCCTGTATCCATTATGCATTGACACTTTCATGCAGCCTTTCTTAGACAGCGTGATGCTTTTTCACACGTATCAAGAAAGGTGACGTCAAGCTATTACATGGTGACTTTTGCCTGTGAGTTGCCGTCACTGAAGGAGAGATCTGAGTCTGATCTGCTTTTGAAGCTTCCATCAGGCTGCACTTGTGGGGAAACAGTCATTTTCCCACCCTTGCTTTGGGTACTTTTCAGTCCTGCCAACAAAGTTGCAGATTTGGTGGCAGTTTGCTCGTCCATGCTGTCATCCATAGAAAGGTAGGAGGCAGTCATGGGAGGATAGTGACCTATCCATGGGAAGGGGAGAAACTAGATTGATTTCCCTCAACCCAGTGGATGGATGGCTGAACCAGCAGCCACCTCCTACTCCAGCCAGATTACCTGTGAAATTCTTCCCCTCCCTAAACTCAAGAATGGCAGCACCTGGGAAAATCATGATTAGGGATTTTTAATAATTAATTAAATTAATAATTTATTAAATTATTTACTGGAAGTAAGTCTCTTTTCAACTCAACTTTAACACTACAGTACATAGGAGTGTGGGAAGTGGGGCTACCTGAAAATAAGGTCATGAAGCAGAGCTGCTCTTATACTTTCTAATCCGGGGTTAATATGGATGTAATGTCACTTTTAGAAAACTATCCTTTGTTAAAACTTCAATTTTTTTAAAAAAGTTTATTGTGATTTGGGTGAAAGTTTACAGAGCAAATTCATTTTCTGTACAGCAGTTCATAAACATTTTGTTTCATGACATTAACTGCAATTCTCCACAATGTAACAGCTCTCTTCCTACTGCCTCCCTGTAGTTACCTCTTCCCTGTGTCCTTCTATCCTATGTGTTCCTGCCCCCTGAGTTATCTCCATGTGCAAATACTGCCCTTCTGTTCTCTCATGATTCATTGTTCTAAGGAGTGTATCTATTTGATGTAAATGTTCACCCTATATGCCTGTCTGTTCTTTGGCTGGAAACCGCAAGAGTGAGCTCAATTCCAGACCTGAAGGGTAACTAGGGGCCATAGTTTTTGGGGTCTCACCAGAGTCTATCAGGCCAGTAAACCTGATCTTTTTTTTTTTTTTTTTTTATGATTTGGGTTTTGTTCCACATTGTTGTTAACATTTCCACTTTGAATTTAATTTTATTTAACTAACCTGGACCAATTTCTGTAGCTTTTATTATTTCTATTATATATTTCTTTTTCACTGTCTAAGGGGTAGCTTGGAGTTCTGGTAGCATAGTGCCTAAGGCACTTGACTGCTAACCAGACAGATGGCGGTTCAAACCCACTAGCCACTCCTCGGAAGGAAGGTTGGGCAATTTACTTCCGTAGTGATACTGCCTTGGAAACCCAAGAAGAGGTCACTATGAGTCAGGTCTGACTCGATGGCACATAACAAGGGGTAGCTTATTGTCTTTTTTAATATCACAAAACAATACTTGATAAAGATAAAGGCAATACAGATAAAGAATAGAAATGAAAAGCCTTTTATTCTACCTACTTAGAGATAAATATGGTTAGTACCTTGGTATATATCCTGCTATGGTGTATGTACATGCACACATACATAAAACACTTTTTTCTTTAGACAGAAGCTCATTTCACTTACAATGTATCATTAACATCTTTCCAAAGCAGTAAGATAGTCTATAGCATAATTTTGATGCTTCCTTTCCAATTGCCTTTAAACAAGTTTGAGTTTCTTCCATCCTAAAAACTTTCCCTCGTAATATACCAGTAGGTGCCATACTTGATGGCCAATAGCTACTATATTAACTGTTTTTCCTTTCTCAGAAAACTTCTTCTACATTTTCCCCTCAATTTTCAGTTTGCTGCAATTTCATTTCTATCCCTAACCTCTATAGAAATTCTTCTTACCAATTGTTTCCTCACCTCCAAAAAAAAAAGTTTCAGTCTGAACTCCAGTGCCTGTGAATATGAAATGGTTTGGAAATAAGGATTTTCTTTTGCTTTGTTGATGAAGTCATACGCTAGTAGGAAGGATTGTAAACCCAATCCCTTCTGAGTAGTGTCTTATAAAAAGATCAGAATAGACATAGGTACATAAAGATACCATGTAAAGACTGAAGCAGATGAATTAACAAGCCCAAGCACACCAAGGATTGCCAGTAACTACTAGAAGCTGAAAGAAACAAAGAGGAATTTTTCCCTAGAGCCAATGCCCTGAATGTAGACTTCAAGCCTCCAGAACTGTGAAAAAAACAAAAAAAATTGTTATTTAAGCCACCCACTTGTATTTTTTGTTAGAGCAGCGTTAGCAAACGAAAGCAGTCACTTATGATCTCCTTACTGTCAAATTCTAGAAAGATTTCACTCCAATTGCTTTTCTTGACTTTCTGGCACTGCTGACCACTCTGTCCATCTTGACCCTCTCTTTTTGGCTGTTGTGACCTTCTATTCTTCTAGTTTTCTTTGTACCTCTCTGACCACTCCTGGTTGGTCTTTGATGAGTCCTTACAACTCAAATAGTGGTTTTCATGAGGATTCTGTCTAGGTACTCATCTCATCCTCTTTATTCTCTCTGGTCAATCTCATACATTTCTGTATCTTCATTACCTAGGTGCTGATAATAATCATATCTGTCACACAACTACTCTGGACATATAACCAGTTGCAGTTTTGATAGGCACCTCAAACTTATTCTATAAAAGTAAACTATTACTTCCTGCCCTGATTGCTTCTAACTGATGTGTATCTTCTCCTGTGTTCCCTACTTCTGTGAATGGGAGCATCAGTTACCCCAGTGGCTCAAGCAAGAACCTAGTTGGGTATCATGTCATCTTGTACTTCTCACATTCTCTACAACCAATTAATTATCAACTTCTGCCTCTTTTGGCATCTATCAGATTATCACATTCTCATTACTGCTACCCCATTTCAGACCACCTTTATCTCTAGATTTAATTTCAGCAAAAACGACAAAAAAATCCCACTGCTGTTGAGTCAATTCAGACTCATAGTAGGAAAGAGTGGAACTACCCCACTGGGTTTCCAAGGATGTAGTCTTTATGGAAGCAGATTGCCACATCTTTCTCCCATGGAGTGGCTGGTAGATTCGAACTACTGACTTTTCAGTTAGCAGCTGAGTGCTTAACCACTGCATCACCAGGGCTATTAGTTTAGCTACACTGCTGCCAGAAGGATTATGGTAAAATGAAAATTTGATAATTTTTACTCTCTTGCTTAAAGCCTTCAATAGCTCATTGATCTTAGGAAAATTTTCTGGATCCTCATTGTGGCTTGGTTAAAGCATTCAGCTGCTAACCAGAATGTCAGTGGTTTGAAACCACCAGCTGCTCTGTGGGAGAAAGAGGAGGCAATCTGCTTCTGTAAAGATTCACAGCCTTGGAAATCCTATACGTTCTGTAGGGTCACTATGAGTCAAAACTGACTTGATGGCAGTGGTTGCTGTGGCTGATTAGATCCTACATGATCTGGAGCTGTGTTGTCTAATACAGTAGCCCTGTGTCTATTAAGCACTGGAAACATAACTACTCTGAATTGAGATGTGCTTCAAATGTGGAAAACATACTAAGTTTCAAAGACTTAGTATAAAAAATATCATAAAATATTTAATAATTTTAATGCTAAAATGATAAGATTTTCAATGTTAGTTTAAATAAAATATATTATTAAAATTCATTCCACCTCTTTCTTTTTAAAATATTTTAAAATGTAATTTTAAGATTACACATATGGCTTGTATTATATTTCTATTGGACAACATGTCTCTATATACCTTGCCTAAGTCTCCAGCCTCAATTTGTATTACTTGAAATTTGTTTTTTAAGATCTGAGTTTAAAAAGTATTGGAATTTAATTA